GTTACGATTTTGGTTTTACGGCGACAAGAGGAGTCTTTTGAGGCTTGGTGGGTTTTTTCGGCCGCCACAGGTGGCGGCCGGAGCGACATTAGGAACGGCAGCGGGCCACCGGGACAGTGGCCAGAAATCGCCTGGAGATAGGCGAGAAGAGAGACTTCTCTTCTCTCATTTGTAGAGAAAGGTATTTTCATGGGGGAGAGTGAGCCGTTTTGGCTTATGGGAAGGGTATTTATACATAGCAAAACGACGCCGTTTAAGGGGGTGGGATCTGCGCGGTTTAACAAATAGGGTTAATCCCATTTTAGGTCCCCTACGTTTTAATGAAATTTATTTTCACCCTTTAAATTGAGCTTGATCTTGATATTACTCTTAATTTTATCCCCTAATTTCGTTATCTTTTAAATTAGTCCTTTTTATTTGTTTTGATATTTAATGTTTAATCTTGTATATATGTTTTTATCATTTTCATATATATTTATTATTAATTACCTATTATTATTATTATTTTATTTCAACTTTTTTTAATTTAATTTAATTTTTTGTTTATTTATTTTTATTTTGTTTTGTTTTTTTAAATAATTTTTTAAATAATTTTTTCTCTCTTTTTTAATTCTATTTCTTTTTATTTTTTTTTCTTTTGACTTATTTAGTATTTATTTATGTTCTCTAACCTTTTTAACTTTGTAGATAAATTTCAACTGGTCAATGGTAAACAATTCGAATCGGGTAACTTAAATTTTAATTTAAATTTACAATTTTCACAATTAAAGACAACGGGTAAATTAATTGGTACCGAAAGGATGGTTCAAGGGTGCTAATCCTTCCTTGACCGTAACTGACTCCCGAACCCGACAAGTTTCTGGTACAACGCAGATCAGGTAAGACGGTGTCCAACCCACCTAAATTCGTTTTAAAATGGTCGGTGGCGACTCTAACCCACATTTTTCAAGTCGAAGCCCAATTCCGGGGCCCAACCGAAAGACGGTTACGACACTTCGTAAACTAAATATATTTTAAAATTATATTATGCTTTTAATGGGTACGATACAAATTTCATCATTCAACTTTGATCATATTCCTATTTCAATCGCTAAACTTCAAAAAAAAAAGTTTAATTTGATCTCTCAACTTTGTTATTGCTTTGGTTTTTTCGGTCAACCGTTAATTATTTAACGTCGTTACGGTAGAGTATCTATATTTTAAAAATTAAGAAAAGCCCTTTAATTTTTCTTTTAAATTTATAAAAAAATTCCATAAAATCTTCATCCCTAGATTTTTTAACCTCGCTTTTCAGGTTCCATTTGATTTTTTTGGCATTGGGACATCTTCTTTCAAATCCATCTAATGGGAGGAGAATGAGAAGACGAATAAAATATCTTCAATCCATTATAATTGGACGATGTAGATTGCATATTATAGTTGTTTTTCTTTAGATTTTTTGAGTTGAAGTTTCACGAGTTTTAAAGATATTTTGGAAAAATTTAAATTGATAGAGTAATAAGAACTAATAAGATGAATTTGTCGATATATAGAGTGGTTGGAGAAGATGTAATTGCTGGAAAGACGATAAAAAAAATGAGAGTAAAATGAAGTGGCTTCCACGTCAGCAGAAAATAATCTATGTCGCCCTATTATTTTGTGTTTAATGCCCAAGTAACAAAAATAAAGTAATTCAAAAGTTAAAGGATTAAACTGATTTTTTTATTAAAAAATTAGTAACCAAAATAAGAATATAGTCAAAGTTGAGTGATGAAAATCATAGTTTGCACCTTTATTCTATCCAAATAGGAGTCTAACCTTCAATGTATACATTTTTAAAAAAAAAAAGTTTCAATGTATACTTAAATATCATTTGAAACAATTAAAATTTTTATAAAAAAATACTCATAAATAAATAAATAATCGTAGAAATAGAAAAAAAGAAAAAGCTTCAATACATTCAGGAAAAAAAGGGGTCCTTAATTTTGTGCCACCCACTTGTGGGCCAACTATATGCTTGATTGATCCTTAATTTCATGTGAAAAAGCATTTGTAGGAACCCCTATCTCTTTGAAAGTACTGGAATGTATAATTTAATCATACAAAAATTACTTATTTACTAATTATGAACATTCACACGGCTTCATTACTAATTATTGATTATTGTTATACACACATAGTCATGCATATTCTTTAATATAATTTATTGTTTTATAAATAAAATTATATAAGAATATAGAAAAAATTTAATAGAAAATTTTAAGAAAATAAAAGATACAAACAAATATTACTATCAATAGTGAATGATAAACATCATCAACAAAATAACAGTTGAGTATGACAATTAATTTTAACACAATTCAAGTACGACATATATGAGGCGACTATGGACATCTAGTCAGATGAGAGAAACAACCCAGAATTCAAAATAAGTAAAGATCAACATAATAACCATCGATTGAAGTATAACGATAAATCAACTTGGAAAAAAAATCTTGCAAAAGCAAGATTAAAATTGTTAAAAGATCTACATACACATATATAATTTTTGTATCAATAATATGTTTTTATTATCCATGAAAGTAATTTAGTTTCTACAAAATTAAAAATGCTATTTGTATTTGGACAATTTTGAAAACGAGGTTTGATAAAATTTATATTTACTTTTTCTTTTTAATAAAACCGTGATTAAGATCAATCGAACGATCCAAAATTCATGATCAAGCCAACAAAGTTGCTCATTGCATGATCACTCCATGAAAGTTTCAACGAAAATTTCGGCCTCATTTTTCATATGTGGGGGACCCTTGGAGTGATGTGGGGTGTGACGCCAGCTTTATTAAAAAAATAATAACATACGTATATATTTATAGTTTCAAAAGAAATTATATTATTCCAATGTAAGCCCCAAATACACCCACCTTGCCCGAAGGTGTTGTGGGACCCAATTAAATCTTACGTGGCACGTGACAAATTTTAAAGAAAATGAAAATAAATTCGATTGCGATTGCGATTGCGAGCATCTATAGACGACTTAGCTTCGTATCTTACTTACGATAGTTTCATCGTTTGAACTATATTAATGAATAGTCGACATCATTTAAGCATCGGTTAAAACAATAAAATGAGAATATTCATTTGATATATTGAGGATGGAATACAAATTTTACAATAAAATATTAGTTGGTTTAATGAAATAAACTGTTTGATTCATTAAATAAAATTTAAAATTTTAATTAGTACATTTTGAATATAATAAATTAAATAAAAAATATTATTCTTATTATAAATTTTATAATATTCAATTTAAATCATTTTTTTATCTTCGTCATCTCATTTGCTTGAATATTGAGTAAAAGTTGAATGTAAAACTTCACCTACAAGGCTTGAAAGAGACAACAAAGGACGAGAGAAAAATAAAATAAAAAATATTTTACATGCAAAAATAAATAAATAAAATCATCTAGGGGACAAGCCTAAGAAACAAAGGTACATTCGATTGCGACACATCCACCCAAAGGACTGCCACTAAGACCAACTTTTTTTTCTTCATTATTATGTTCTTAGTAGAAACAATTATTATTTTATTATTACAAAGTTTCATGTAGGGTTTTCTCTTTCTCAAGACATGCATGATCATTCGTATCTTTTTGGGGCACTGTAATAATTAAAATAATGGTAAATTATAAGGTTGATTTTTTTTAATTTTTTATTTTCTTCTATTAATTTAAAAATATAATATCTGATTACTTTCATTTTTATTTAATTAAGATGTGATCATTGAAGGTTAATTTTCATTAAACCTCTAACAAATTTGTTACTTTCATTTTTATTTAATTAAGATGTGGTCATTTTACTTAATTAGAAAGCTTTTGGGATAAATTATATATAAAATCATTATTTAATGACCTATTTGATATTTTTATGACCAATTTGTTATTTTTGAAACTTCAATGGGAAAATGGAACTTACTCAAATATTAATGATCATTTGTGCAATTAAACCTTTTTAATTTTATAAATTCATAGTACCCTTAGTCATCGATATTAATTAAATAAAAACAAAAATAATTAAATCTTAATTAAATAAAAAAAAATTGACTAAATATTATATTTTTTAATTCAGTTAAGAAAATCATACAAAACTTAAACAAAATTAGTCAATTATGTAGCTTACCCTAAAAGCAACTAACTCTAAATTCTAAACTCTAAATCCTATATCCTTATTTTTGTCTCTTCTTTATTTTTGGATATGAAATTAATGTATTTTTGTCATCTTAATGGACAATCTATCTTTCTTTTTAAAACATGAAAGTGATATTTTTGACCATCTAAATAGTTATCTTTGATGCATTTAAGTCTTATTTTAAAATTTATTGACTAATATCATTGGTCAAAAAGAATGTTATCTTCTTTAGGGGATTTGAATTTGAGCAGTTACATTTAAAAGGCGTGCATGCGTTATCAATTGACTAAGAAAATTTTAAATATATATTAGATTGTAATCTTCTCAAAATATTAAATTTTTTTAGTTTAAGCAGTTTTAGAATTACTCTCACAATTATTTAAAAAAAAAATACTTTCATTGATAGCATGATTGTGTTTCTATTCTCAAACCCTTTGAGCGATCTTTGTTTAAAAGAAATGTTATTTTTTTAGAGATTCTGAATTCGAATAGTTACATTTATAGAGTGTGAATATTATCAATAACTAACAAATATTCTAAACTTATATTATCTTATAATAGTTATAAACTATTTTACAAAAATTAAGTTGACGTTAATACATTAGGTGATCATCGTGAACTATTAGTTTCTCTTTAAAGTACCCAAAAAAACATTCTCAAACATATAAATATTACACAAATTTATTTGTAGTCAGTATTAACTCTTATTAATTCAAACCCTAAAAAGAAATTTAATCAAACCAAAGAGGGACTGGGATGATAAGAAAACAAAATATAAATATAAAATAAACAAACACTTCCTTTGCTTTCCTTTTATTTTCATCTTCTTCCTGCAATTCTCACTTGTTCGGATGTGATTATCCACCGTATCACCGGAAACCCTTACAAAAAGATTGAAAGCTTAAGCTCAATAAACGCCATGGCTTTCTCTTATGTTCCAGTCTATCTAGATCCCCCCGATTGGCAACAGGTAAATTTCCTTTTTCTTTTCTTTGCTTGGCTGGCTTCTGCTCCAAGAAAGATATAAGTAATATTCTCACCCTTTTTCCTAATCTTCACTTGAATATACCATTTATTTGATCTTCTTCCTTTACTTTTTGTGAAGTTTTTGCAGCCACAAACTCATCAGCAAGCTGGAGTTATCGATAATGAAAGTCATGGTAGTTCTCAGCTTCCACCACCATCCCCGGCGGCGAATGTTGCTGGTGGTACAGGTGGTAAAAAGCCTAATTCGATGGCGGAACAAGCCAGACTAGCTAAAATACCACAGCCGGAGTCGGCTCTCAAGTGCCCTCGTTGTGAGTCGACTAACACGAAATTTTGTTACTTCAACAATTATAGCCTTTCTCAGCCTCGCCACTTTTGTAAGACCTGTAGACGGTACTGGACTCGTGGTGGCGCATTAAGGAACGTCCCGGTCGGAGGTGGTTGTCGGAGAAACAAAAGAAGAAAGGGAAGCAATAGATCGAAGTCTCCGTCCGTAGTTTCCGAACGACGAGCCGATTCGAACTCGTCTTCCGGTACACTTGCTTCTAATAGTTGCACTGATGTTTTAGGTCACATGAACCTAGCAGTACCACAATTGCCACTATTTCCGCCTTTACATCATCTCGGTGGCTACGATTCCGGTGATACCAGGCTGAGTTTCGGCGGAATTCAAACTCAGGTGGCAGTGACAGGTGGTGGAACTGACATGGATTTTCAAGGCTCAACAAGTGGTTTAGTGGAACAGTGGAGATCACTGCAACAGGTTCAGCAATTTCCATTTTTGACTGGCTTGGAGCAGCACCAAAATGAGCTGTATCCATTTGAAAGTGAAGGTGTCCGGCTGCCACCGACTTACAACGCTCACCACCTGCTCCTGTCTAAGCCACCGGAGAGAACTATTACTCAGCTCGCTGCTGTTAAAATAGAAGACTTTCAAGGATTGAATTTATCAAGGAATTTCTTGGGAATTTCAGACAATGATCATCAATACTGGGGTGGCAACGCAGGCAACTCATGCACTGAGTTTTCTGGTGATACATACATACATACATGCATGCATACATATATACATACATACATGCATATTCTTCCCTCAAAACCCAATCTTAATACTCGTTTTTGGTCTTTGGTTAAATTATTTACAGGTTTCATCAAAGAGAAATCAAGTCATAGATAACTTTTGCAAATTTCAAGTTTCCAATGGAGTTCAATTACAAGATTTAATGGTAGATTTCTATTCTTGAAGAAAAAACCTACTAATTTGCTGTTGTTCATTTCAATCTTGTTGTGTTTTCTATACATTATTATATTTTTTTTAAAAGACTATATATTATTGTAATGATCCAAGGAATTGGGTAGGTTTGAATTGATTATATGAAATATATTCATGGAGACAGCAAAAGAGTGATCACGAAAATTTATTTAATACACATATAATATAAAATTTAACTTCAGAAATATGTATGTTCTAAACCTTAATCTTGAATAGGATGAATGGAATCAATGTCACTCCCTTCATCATTTTTTTTCACCATCAATATATTAGATAATAATCATTATGATCACTCGGTCGAGTCAAATACTACTTTCTATCATAGTTGAAAGTGAGATTCATGCAATTAGACAATAATTCCTATTAAATATATATATAAATATTATTTTCTATTTTTTGGTTCACTTATTTTTTTAAAAAGTAGTACAGATTATAGCAGCTATTATAAAGTAAGAATTTCATGTTTGAATAATTATTTCATATTTATGGTTAAAGAATGCAGGTAATGTAGTTTCAGTCTTTCTTTCTTTTTTTCCAACCACAGTGTGTTGAAGATAAAGTGATTTCACTGGATTCACTGGTGCTGTAGGGGATCACTGATCATCAGAATCAATGTTAACGCTTTAATCATGTTTGATGGCAAATTTCAAATTCCTAAGGGTGCGTTTGGTTCACGGAATGTATGATTACTAGTGGGAATGTAAGATTACCAGAGAATAGGATTACTGAGAATGTTGTATTTTGTGTTTGGTTGGTTTAGCAGGAATGTAAGATTATCGTATTTGGTTAAAGAAATAAAAGATTATTGGAATGTATATTTGACCAAATTGTCCTTATTATATATTTGTTTTTTTAATAAGTCGAAACTATTTATATATTTTCTTTAAAAAAATTTAAATTTATAATATTTATATAATATTTTTACAAAATTGAAAATATAAAAAGGTTAATGAAAGGGTAAAATTTTATTTTAACCCCTGAACTTTATATAAAATTTTAATTATAGATTTTTTTGTAAATCTAAAATAGTTTAAGGATAAATTTGTGATTTAATCTTCGTAGAATTTTTTATTCAATGACAGAAGAAGGATATTTTTGAAAAAATTTTTAAGGGCATTTTAGTCTAAAACGTCAGTAATCTAACAATACCTAAGGAAAGGGAGGTAATGACATTCCCGATAATATACCTAAAAAAAATTACTATTGGTAATCTTACATTACCGGGATTTAGATTCCTGGGATAGGGGAATGTGGATTCCATTCCCATGAGAATCCCACATTCCCCCATCCAAAAGCCCCCTAAGATATTGCTTTGTCTCACATTTTTTAGGGTTTTTAACCTTAGGTTAGTTATTTTTCACCCAACCAATAACCCGGAAATATAATACCTCATTTATATTATGATTGAATGATTAAGTTAATTAATAGGTTAGGGATTCCAAAAATAGGAGATAGAAGATTTGTTATATATGTATGTATAATGTATGGCGTGATAGGTTCTCCCTGTTTCCAATGGCAGCTTTCACTTTTGAAACATCCTTGTTATGTTTCTTTTTCTTTTGCTTGCTTTGGAATCTCATTTGTGTTTGGGGTTAAGTCCCCCACGTTCTTCCACATGTACTCAATCATACAACTCAATTTAGATTCTCTCTCATCACTTCTATAAATTCTTCATTAGTTCCTTCACTTTATTATTATAATTTTTCATATTCGATCTATAATTTTATGTTTAAGATTTTAGAATGTCTTTTTAAAATATAATATCTAAAATTTAATTTTATGTTATCATCATACATATAAAAATTGATTAATCATCAATACCTGACCTATTAATCGATTATTCTAAATTAATTATTATAAAGATCCATTATAAGAATAATCTTTCCAACACAACTTATTTTATTAGAAAATTTCAAATAATATTATTTTCAAGATAATTGTGCTTATAAATTATTCAAGTTCGAATAAAAAATATTAGAAATCATAATATGATCGTTATTAAGCTCGATCTTAGAGAACTCAAGCCTTTGATTACGTTGAATGTGAGTATCCTAAGTCGACAATACTTAATTTAAGTAGTTAATGAGCTACATCCCTCTTAAGTGGGTAAAACACTACGCCTTAACAAAAATTAAAATTTCAAATCCTAACATTATAAATAAAGAAAATTAGATTAACATGGTCATCCTTATAATAAATCTCTATAATAAATGATATTAACTAATCCATTAATGAGTTAAATACAAACATAGACAAACATAAAATTTTATGTTAAAGGGGATAAATTTATAAAATTTTAGAAGGGAGTGGACTTATAAAATTTTAAGAGAATGAAAACAAATTATCAATAAAAGTTTGAAAGATAAAATCTAAAATATAAGAGGATTGATTTTTTTTTGGAACGAATCTCCCCTACTCACGCCTTTAGATCCATCCCTAAATACAAATGATTATAGAAAGCGTACAATATCTAAAAGACACGTACAACGTTACTTAGAATGTTACAAGGTGATGCTGCAACACCACATAAACAGTCACGACTTTATCTTTGTAAGAAAAGACTTTTGGGTGAGGAAAACAATTACCCCTAATTCTAATGTTTTATATGTATTATTAACGTATATTCTCCATGCAATCAATCATGTATGCAAAATATTGGAAGCTTGCGCAATTAAGCACCAACTTCTGTTTTCAGATATACTTTGTTGAATTCTAGATAAGATTGCAAAAGAAGATGTCATAAAGAAGCAACTTAAAGACTATTGACGTCAAATGCTAAGCAATACCCCTGAAGCGCCTAACCAAATGAACCCAACGACTTATTCACATACACTGCAATAAAAACTGCAGAAAATTTGGTCTTTGTTAGTTTGAATAAATATCAAATCAAGCTTTGGCTTGTCGAAATTGTATGATTAAATACTTATTAGGTCTTTGTTAATTTTGAAGATAGGCAAATTGATTTCTTCTATGATTTAATTCCAATTTCATCCCTAATTAATGAATTGAGTGAATAATTCAATATTATGATAGAATTTTAATTATCGATTTATTTTCTTCCAATAGATTTACTTTATGAAACTTAACGGAATGCGATGTCATGTTGGATTATATAGACTTATTAGCATAAAGGATTGATCCATATTAAAATGATATAATATAATTAAAGTTAACTGAACTTTAGTAATTGACTCGCGTGTGTGTAGATATCTTAATATTAATTTCTAACTGGTGATTTGAAATAAAAACACGATGGTCCAAACAAATTAAATACGAAATAAAATTAAAATGCTATTGATGTAAAACATGGTGGTCCTATATAATCATTTTTTTATAATTTGAGTCAAATCTTTCACTTTAGTCTTAAAGTTGATTAGATCAGCCTTTAAATTTGTGCAAATTATCACTTGAAACATAATTATTTTGTCCTTGTAATCAAATCCCTAAGAGATTGATTTTGACTAGAGGTGGGTGTACATATAAGCTAAGCTCAACATGTTTTGTTCACTCATTTTTCCATTACACGTTGGTTAAGAGTGGAAGTCTTAAACAATAATTAATCAAGTTCACACTACAACAAAGTATATAGCCGCATTTATCGCGGCGTTTTCAAAGAAAATGTCACTAAATTTATACATACCGCGACGCTTATATTCAAAACGCCACAAAATGGTAACATTAACGGTGTTTTTCCATAAATTCCGCTAACACTCGTACTTTAGCGACATTTATTTCACAAACGTTGCAACATATAAGTACTTTAGTGGCTTTTTAAATAAACACTGCAATAGGATACATATATTGTGGCGTTTTTAGAAAAACGCCGCTAAAACCTAGTACTTTAGTGGCATTTCTAAACAAATGCTTAAAAAGAATAGTTCTTTAGTGGAGTTTTTAAACAAACGCTGCAGTAGGGTACATATATTGTGGCCTTAGGCAAACACTGCTAAAACCTAGTACTTTAGTGGCGTTTCTAAACAAACCCCGCAAAAGAATCGTTCTTTAGTGGCATTTTTGAAACAAATGCCGCAATAGTTCGGAACGCTTGTGGCATTGTTTTTAAAAACGCCGCAATATATTAAATCGTTAGTGGCATTTTATTTGAAAAGGCCGTGATAGTTTGTTCTATAGTAGCGTTTAGTTTAAAAAAACATCGCAAAATTTTATAAAAGCCCCCAATCTCGGTCAGTGTTGTCTCTTTCTCTCTCAAATGTTTCAATTACTGTAAACCCTCACTAAGCTACCAAATCCCTCTTCCTCGTATAACCCTCATAACACAAGCCCTTTTTAATCCCAAGTCGGCTCTGGTTCCTCAGGTCTCGCCTAATCTGTGTTCTATCTCTACAGATTCTATCGAAGGTCGATCTGCTTTTCATTAGTACTAGTACTGATCTTGTACTTCATTTCTTCATGATATTTCAACGTAGTTGATCTTGTGCTTCTTTCTCTTATGCCCCTATACGTGACTTTCTCATTGTTTTCTTGATCATCGATATGCAACATGTGTTTTCGCCCTATCTTCTTTTTGAGTTTTTTTCATTTCCCTTTTTTTATTTCCTCTTAACCATAACTTTTGTCTTTATCTACTAGAAATAGAAGGGGTAACTGCCACATCCATCTTTTCTTTGATGTCTAGAACATTAGTTTTTTCTTCTTTTGTTTACTTTGTTACTAAGTCTCATTCTATAAATGGTTTTCTTTGTTTGGTTGTTTGGGTTTGTTTCATTATCTAATCTCAGACTATAGTTAATATATTTTATAAAAATATATATTTAGGGTTTATAGTTTTCTATTTTGTTTTGCTCTCGAATGTGTTTATTCCAACAGGAATTCAATTTCCTAAGTATAGTGGGAAATGGGTGCGATCATAAATTTGTTTCTTTATAAAAGTATGGACTTGTGTTGTGTTGTTCTTTATGTTTTTGTTAGTTTTAATGTTGCATGGAATGTGCTAATA